GCCTCCCCCGGCGCTGGCTCCGGCGGGCCCGGCTGCAGGAAGATGGTGGTGTCGGCCGAGATGTGCTGCTTCTGCTTCGACGTGCTCTACTGTCACCTGTACGGCTACCAGCCCCCGCGGAGCCCCCGCTTCACCAACGACCCCTAGTGAGTACCGCGCCCGGCCCCGCACCCCCGTGCCCAGAGCCTCGGCACCCTGCACGACTCCCTGCCACAGGGACGTCTCCCCCGGCGCCCCGCCAGCCCTGTGCCTGAGCCCTGGCTCGGAGTCGGCATCCTCTGCGCCCCCTCCCTCCAGACCCCGCGTCACCCGGGACCCCCGGGGAGATAGCTCACGACTGTGTTGGCGCCTGATCCCCGCTTTGCTAGTGTTTCCTGGGGACGGCACAACTGGACGCCGCTGCGCCCTGATCCCCTGCACTCTGTCCCCAGCCCTGATTAGTTTAATTCCTGATCCTTTCACCCTTTCCACTCAATGTACCTGCAAACCATGCTTCCTGCGGGCCCCTTGAGAATAGTTTGCATCCCAGGCGGTCAAAATGCCCATATGACCCCTTAGCACCTTTTGCGTGGCCTCTCCCCACTCCCTTCTCCACTTCCATCCAAGGTAAATTCTCCTTTGGGCTCTTGAGCAAGTGACCGCATATGGCCTGCCAGGCCTGGCGTGAGGCTGTTGGTACCAGCACGGTCCTTGTATGCCCCATGACCACCAAGTTGGGATGGAGAATATGTCCTAATGAATTTCCTTCGTCATCTGTGTACCCGCAGTCACAGTACTAGTTTGGTTTGTCAGTCGTGTTATGTCTGTCCTCCATATTCCAGATGTAGCCTGTGTTTTTGTTATACCCTTAAGAGATCCCCTTGCTAGGTAGACACTGAGGACTTACGTCTCTCCTAGGTGGCCGTAACTGCCATCGTGACAACACAGCTCCACGGGTCTGATGAGCAAGTCCCATCTATACACTCTTCTTAACTCCTGTGTGTGGACAGCTGAGGACCTAGAGGGGAGGCATGGTGGCTGGGAGGGGTATCTCAACTGTGGGGTGCTTTATTCCTTATTTTGTAAATGCAGCTCTTCCTTTTGTAGTGTCCAGTAGCCTAGGAACTCCTGCTTCACCTGCTTCATATTTAGTAACTACCACGCTGCATGGAAGATTGACTGCCCCGTGTCTGTTCTCCAGTGTGGGGTACTATGCTCAACTTTCTGCAGCTGTCACTGCATGGTTTTGTTGATGGAGGAGAAGTGAACGATGCCTGCATTTAATTTGCTGTTATGATCACGCCTGGCTTCTGTGTAATGTTTTTTATTAGGTCTGGAAGTGCTTTACACGAGAGTTCACTATCTTTGTCTCTGTTTTACAGAGCAGGGAAATCAAGGCACAGATAAAAACTAAATTTATCTGTGGAGCTCTCTCAAGTGAGCACTTTGGGAGTTTACTTCCTCCTGTGCTTAGCAGTGAGCTGTTAATTTCAGTTTTCTTCCCCCATGTTAATTGTAGCTCCACTATTTAAGGTTTAACATTACTTTCTGTTTCTGAGGTCATTTATTCTAATTGCTCTAAAATTCAATTGCTTACTTGAATTACCTTGAATTTTGCTGCCTTGAGACAGTCCAGGTTTTGTGGTCCAAATTTATGGTCATTTAACAAAGAGATTCTCAGACTACAACCTCCCTTCCAATGAGCTGTTATAAAATAGCAATTTTTTGGAAAATTTTTGGACAAGTGTAGGGCTCAAACTGTGACACTGAGGTCAGTTGCTCAGAATTTCTGTTAGGATATAACATCCTCCATCCTGCTGGAGAAGCAATATTGAAAAAACGATTCAGCATTAAGTGTAGAATTTCAGGTTGGCACATGATTTATTTGTGCAAAATTTGTAGGTGCAGCAGAACTTCTAACAGTCAAAGAGTTTGCATGCAGTCTGTCAGCATAGGAGACATATAGTAATGGTAATTTTTTCCTGAGTTAGAGCTTAAACTTACGGTGTATAGCTACAACCTTGGCAGTTTTCAAATGAATATATTTCTTTATCCCTTGCCTTAATTCTGCAGAGGATCCTTTTAGAAGGTTTGGCCTGAGACAGATGTTTCTGGTCTAGCAGCAGTTTTTTTTTCCCTTAAAGTCCATGTGCAGATTCTGTTTTAGAGATATTATCCAAAAATTAGCATTAATTAGAAGATGAAAGACTCTCTAGTGAACAGTTAGCTTAATATAATTGTGACTCATGCATTTTCTAAACAACAGAGCCCAACATCCTCAAGAGGTAACAGGTGGGCAGGTCATTTGGTCAAGGGGTTTCTGATATACAGTTCTCCAAACATGAGTTGTTTGTAATATTTCTAAATTTGTACGGTATAACTTTTCCTTGACTCTGCCCCAGAAGAGGGCTGGGGGGGTTGGAGCAGCAAGCAGGAATGGGAGTAGGCTCCCAAACAAAGCAAAGGGCATTGGGGCACGTAACCCTTAAAGGGCACAGTTATTGTGTGCGGGTAGTACACCCCCTAAATTGTCACCTGTACTAGTACAAGGGATTGTTCAAGGCTCTTTTATGGAAACTTGTGAGACTGGGGCTTTAAGCAACTGGGGAATACAAAAGTAGTTTTGAAATAGTTACTCCACGAATAGAGGTGTCTTTGAGCGTGATTCTTGGCTATCTGAAAGTTCAGAAGTGCTGATGGAGTGGAATCATGAGGCAGCAGGGGAAAGTTAAGTGAGCATCTTCCCTTTTCTTCCCACCCTAAAAAGTGGCTCAAAGGGGATCTGTCTGTTCCTTCTCCCTCTTCCCTTCCCTACATACTTCCCATTTCCCACAGTTTGTATTCATTGTTGTTCCAGCCCTCATCAGGGGAAACACCAGGAGCCCACTCCTCTTTCCCCTTTCTGCCTTCTGAGATGAGGAATATGGGCTTGCCCTTGTCCAGGCTGCAGTTTTTGCAAGAGGAAAAGGAATGGTCAGAGTCAAGAGTGGAAAGGAGTAAAAGCTGTGCAGTTCAGGATGTAAGGCTTTCAACTCTGTGCTCAAAAAGTTTCTTATATCTGTATCTCCCTATTTGTTCCCCTTCATGCTCCACAGTACTGAAACCAGGTTGGGGAGCAAGGAAGGACCATACTCTAATTGTATGCGGTAAGCACCATGCTCAGATGAGGTGGGGAGTTGAGAAGAGATGTGTTTGGAGCACTCCCAAGCCTGCAGTGCTGAGATTGAGCAAACCAGTGGTGTGCTAAGGACTCACAAGATCTGAAACTACTGAGATACATGAAGCAGCTCATACCTCTGAGCTATTGCTTCAGTTTAGGCTTAACTTTGTGGTTGTTTTCATTCAATTGACAGAGCCTGTTGAGATGCATGTATGTCTTTGTACCTGTCTGAACTTTCTACCCTTTAGATAAAGGTGTAGGGCCATTGTTTTATACACTTGACCCATATTTGGAGTAGGATCTGTACCTGCCTCTTCCTGCCTCCAGCTGGTACATGTGCTTCCCACACTCCACTTCCCACCTCCCCAGTGTCCCACGCCTGAAGTTTGGCATGGAGTTTGAAGGGGCATGGGTGATGGAGGAATCCTGAGTTGGAGCACTGGAAGAGATATGTGGAGGGGTGTTGAAGAGTAGCATTGAAAGGAGAGGTATAAGGTGTGCTGTAGAGGATGTTGACCACTTTACACTCTAAAATGCCTACATTCATGGTTCCTTTAAAAAAATCCCCTTAAAAAATAACTTCATTGATTCCTGGTCATTCTCTTCATCCTCCCTCCCATGCTGACATCTCCCTCCTTCCTCTGGCTTCATCCCTTGTAGAGAGAACCAGCTTGTGCAGGACAGATAGAGAAACAGGGTCGGATGCTGGGCAGTAAAGGGACTTGCATGTTGTCAGAATAATCTGAAGCCATGTCTATGCTACAAAGTTTTGCTGGGATGGAATTGTCAATTAATTAGGAGCATGAAAAGACTATATCCAGTAGTTGATTTACCTGTGCTAACAGACCCTCGGTTTGGATGCAACAATACTAACAGAAAAGGGCTTTTTCTGTCTTAGTTGATTTTGTTCAGGGAGTAACTGTCAGCAGAAAAACGCTTTCTGTCAGCATATGGTACATCTTT